TATTTAGCTATTGATATCCTTTCTGGTGTTGTTTTGTTCTGTAGCCTTTAAAAAGTGAGGGCAGGAGAAGCAGTAATTCCAGATGAAAATGGACAGCTCCAAGGCTCTTACCCTTGATTTTAAGGCAATGCGGGTTATTTCAAGCAGTCCTTTCCAGAACCTCTGTCTGAGCACAGTCCCCTGAGCAGACTCACAAAGCTAATCACAACCCACAGCATCAAAGGCAGTGGAAGCCTGGTGGCCCACTCGGGTTATCCGGGCCCCCCTCTAGGTTTCAAAGGTCTCCTTACTCTATCTTTCACACCAGAAGCTTATCTGGTAGGGTCTGGGCATGTGCAGGACTGTAAAGAGGCCCTAACTTCCGCCAAGGAAGAGCCTAACGCTGTCATGTCCAGCTTACTTGTAGATCCTGCTTTAGTTCATCTTGGAGCAAAAGCATTCCCAAACATGTATTAAATATATACTAAGTGCCAAGTGGAGCCCTGGTGGTGCAGTGGTTAAGATCTCAGCTGCTAACCAAAAAGTCAGCAGTTCGAATCCACCAGCTGCTCCTTGGAAACCCTATGGGGCAGTTCCACTCTGTCCAATAGAGTTGCTATGAATCAGAATTGACTCGATGGCAATGAATTTGGTTTTTTTTTTTTTAAGTGCCAAGTGGAGCCTCTGGGTGGTATATGCAGTTAACGGGCTCAGCTGCTAACTGAAAAGGCTAGAGGTTCAAGTCTACCCAGAGGTGTCTTGAAAGAAAGGCCTGGCGATCTGCTTCCAAAAATTCAGCCATTGAAAAGCCTATGGAGCACAGTTCTTCTCTGACACACATGGGGTCTCCATGAGTCAGAACAGACTCGATGGCAACTGGTTCTAAGTGCCAGGTACCAAAGCACCATAGGTCCCTGGGTGGCACAAAGAGTTTACGCTTAACTACTAACATAAAGGTTGGCAGTTTGAACTCACCCAGCGGCACTTTGGAAAAAAGGCCTGGAGATCTGCCTCCATAAAAATTACACCCAGAAAACGCTACAGAGCACAGTTCTACTCTGAGACACATGGGTTGGCCATGAGTCGGAATCGACTCTATGGCAACAGGTTTTGTTTACTTATTAACTGAAGGACCAGGCATCGTGAATGTAGTTCCTGGCCTCAAGGAAGTGATTGTGCAGACTTGGTTATTGGACCTGCACCCCTTGACTCTCTAGAACTTTGAGGTAAGGAAAGGGTTCACACTAGAATTCCATTTCACCCCTGACCCTGAAATTCCTTGTTCCTGGCTGTGGCACAGCTTTCTTTCTCATTCCAGAGTCCTATATTTTTATCTAGTAAGTTTTTTCATTTATGGTATAAATTAAACTGCTCATATTAATTCTAGCAGTTTGATGCTTGATTTACTGCAGGAGAGGGCTGTTGCCACACATGTGGGACTGCTCCATCCTTAATAATAAAGTAATTCACGTTGTATTCCCCACGGCAGGCAATTACTGTCATCCTCCTTTTGTGTGTGGTACTATGAGATACAGAGTACTAAGAAAAGGGTTCCTTGCCAGAGGCCAAAAGCCAGAGAAGCAGATTTAATACTGTCCTGCCCCTCCTCCACTGGCAGTGGTGGTTTGGTATTTAATACAAGATCAAACAGACCTTAATTCAAACCCTGATTCTGCTACTTACTTAGCTGTGTGACCTTGGCCAAGTTACTAACCCTTTCTGAACTTGAGTTCTCAACTGGAAAATAAAAACAATACCATCTATCTCAAAGAGTAGTTATGAATATTAAATGACAGAACCAGTATTAAGCACCTGTCATGATGATGAAAGCAACCATTTCTTGTGCCTACTCTGGGCCAGGCACTGTTATGACTGCTGTATATTTTTGCTTCACCCATTTAATCCTTACAGTACTATTATTATTCCTATTTTACAGTTGATTAGCTGGGTATATAGGTTAAGGAACTTGCCCAAAGTCACATAATTCATAACAAAAAATGGCCAGATTCATTCATCCTCACATGTCTGATGCTTGTCTGTGTCAAGTATTAAGCACCAGAGCTGGGACATGAGCCCAGGCAGTCAAACTTAGTGGCTTTTTAACCTCTTTCCCCTCCCCTTTCCCCAGAGAGCTGCTGAGTTTCATGAAGGATTAGCCACTTACATATGTACATATTGTGTTGTTAAATTACATATGCATGTTTAGGTATGTTTCTCACTGCGTGACTTTGGGCAAGTTATATAATCAGTCTCTCCTCAGTTTTCATATCTGTCAAGTGTGGATATTAATAGTATCCTCCTTCATAGAACCCTGGTAGAAAAAAATGAGTTAAAAAAGATAAAGCGTTGAGAAGAGCGCTTGGCACTCAGAACAGGCTCCATCCAGGAAGTACCTTTAACATCCAGTCATGAACAGTGTGATATGTTAGGAGAATATGGGGCTACAGGAGATTAAGTGGCTGGCTGAATCTAGTAGTTTCAAATAGTAAACATACTGCATTTAGAAAAAGAGATTTAAGTTTTCATTCAGTCAATGAAAAGAATAAGAGGATTCTGGTTAGAAAGAAATTAGGCAGGGCCTAAATGAAATCAGACTGAACGCAAAAATTTTAACAATTAAAAAAAAAAAAAATCAGAGTAGTCTTCCTGGCATTTTCTCAGGTTATGAATTGTATTCCACCCACCGGATCAGTGCTAGGGCTGGAAACGTAATGGGCAAAAAGAGCTTGTGAAAAATTTATGGCCTGGTAAAAATCCCTGGGTGATACAGGTTAAAGCAACTTTATCCCTGACGCTGTTGAATACCACGAGTTTTATAAGTGAAAAAAAGCAGCTTTTGTGAGCATGTTGGACATAAAACAAAACATCACATAAAAGGAAAAGCTGGAGAGCAGACAGAACAAATAAGCTCATGGGAGCACTCTGCAATTAACCTGTATGGCTTTGTATTTACTCATCTTGCACCACGTTTAAATTTACAATAAAAAGCAAAACATGTGCAGCACTTATTATTCTAGCTGCCTTTACACATCCCATTGAGATACAAAACAGGGTTTCACTGCTCAGATTTTGAGGGAAGAGGGAGCCCATTTTACTTCATGTCTGTGCTGCTGCCACAGCCACTGCACCGTGTTCCAGTCACGGGATTCTAATGTAAATCTCTAGCAGGCGACACCACTGGGGGACAGAAACCACCATGGATCCCCCAACGCTTCCAAATTTCTCGTCTCAAGTTCTTATCTGTGAGCCCACAGGCTGGTACCGAGTATTTTATACAATGGGTGAGGGCTGTTGAGAAATCTACATTCTTTGGGAGATTTAATAAGAAATTTGCACCATTCCTTGAATATATATAATGTCTTTATCATTTCTTTTACTTGTGACAATGCTAAATATTTCACAACCGCCCCAATGCATCCCTGAATGTTTAAATCTATTCTGAGAAGGGTGTGTGTCACACACCTACCTGTGCAGCCTCTTTCTTAGATGTTAAAAAAAAAAAAAACCAAAAAACCCAAACCCGTTGCTATTAATTACGACTCATGATAACTGTTAATAAGAACTCATAAAAATTACAGGGGGTATCAAAGAGAAGACCTTTGGAACTGTCCAGAAGAGAGAAGTCGCATTTCCTGGTTGTTTGAGTAAAAATCTTTTATAAGTTAGATCAGTGTATGATTCTTTTAAGCTACCTCAGGGATACCCTTGAGACATCAAGTAATGTTCCATTAACTGTTTGCTGGACTGCTTCATGGTGAGGCTTTGTCTCCCTGGGATGTTAAGAAGTCCACAAGGCTGACTTTGCTATTAAAATACAGACATCTGCTGCTTTCCTAATTTTTCTTCTTTTTAAAGGCAGCACCCCCACGAAACTCTTTGATATTTTAAGGCCTAAGGGCTGGGGGGAGGGAGTCTGTCTCCCTAACACATTCATCAGATTCCTCCCTCCTCCCAGCGCCTCCCTCCCCAGTGCCTCTACACCCTCCACACACATCAGCAGTCCACTCCCCCAAACACATCAGTGCTGGAAAGATTCACGTTGCAATACCGTCCTGTCATTCCTATTCCCGCCCTCATTTTAATTCACTCACTTTTTTTTTTTTTTTTTTTTTAAGCAAAATGTAATTACTTGACTGTCAGCCTGGGCTGCACTCTGGGGCTTTTACTCCTTTCAACACAGCTGTGCTCCCGGCTTTGATGCTGCTGTCCACGCAGCTTGTCTCAGCCACAGCCTGGCTCTCGGTAATGTAACATTCAAGTGCATATTTATTTTTAAACTGACCTCTCCTAGACTGTACAGTATAAAGGAGGTCCTGCCAAAAACATACGCTACTTTCTATTTATAAGATGAAACACATGCCTACGAAAGTAGAGCGGGGGATGGAGTATAATAATTCTTCAGAGGAAAATGGCCAGATCCATTCATCCTCACATGTCTGATATTAGACTGTGTCAAGACACTTAGTTTCAAGGAGAAAGAGATTAAAAAAAAAAAAAAAAAATCCTGAAAACGGTTCAGCTGTTCAGAGTCCACCTTCAAAAAAACAAAAATTCAACTGCCAGATCTGCAGGTCTCTCAAGTGGAGAGGGCATCCGGCGGGCACTGCCTCGGCAGATCTGCACGGTGCACCCATGTGCGGTTCTGCCTGGTGCCAATCCACCCCCGGAGGAGCGCGGCAGCCATGTGCGGCTTGTTCTCAGATGGAAAAATGCAACACGCGCCCAAAAATGGCTCTGTCAATAGCTCGGAGATGGTGCAGCGTAACCGCGCAGCCCCACCCTGAAAAGTGGTCGGCACAAATGGTGGAGCTCTGCATCCTGCTGGGTGCCGACCGGCCCCCTCCCGGTGTACTTTATGTCCTCTTTGGTTCTTGTAACACCAGCTGGGAGGGCGATGCTCTCCCTCGGTATCCCCATCCCCGTTCTTTTCCAAGCCTAGTAGCCCGCACACGCCGGAAGCGGCCACGGTCGCTGGTGTGACAGACTCACAGACCGGCAGAGAGGGGCTGGCAGCGACTCACCAGCAGTCCCGAGGATCCCAGCCGCTGTCTCCGGGGTCTGGGCGCCCTGCACCGACGCCTCGCCTAGTGCACACAGTCCCTGCCCGCTGCGCGCAAATCCAGCCGTGTCCTCACAGCATTATCCGCTCCGAGATGGCACGAAGGCGCCGAGGCCGGCAGCCAGGTCTCCCGGATCGTTCCCCACTCTGGCCCGCCGCAGCGCTCTCCGCCCCCTCCGGCCCCTGCCCTGCCGGGAGGGAAGGTGGCAGTGAGACTGAGCGCAGCGGCCGGCTGGAGGACTGAACCTGCAGAGGGCGGGGGCGGCGCGGGGCGGGGCCGCGACACGGGGCGGGGCGGAGGACGTGGGCAGCCCAGCGGACCGACTCCGGGTACCTGCGTCCGGAGCCTTGACCCGGGGCCAGGCGCACGCGCGCGGCGCGGCTGCCGGTCACGGGCGGCGGGGCCGGGGGGTTGCCGAAGGACAATGGGCGCCCGTTGCTACCTCCCCAGTGCCACAGTTCGGGGACGCGGTTTCCCTCCGAGACGTAGCCGCGTTCAGCTCCCTCGGCACAAAGAAATGTCGCGGGATGCCCGCTTCAAAAGAGGTCACCCCGGGGTGTTGGCGCCCTGATGCCTGAGGAGAATGGGCCTCCGCCCGCACCCCGAACACCAGCGATAAACCTCGTGAGCCCACCTCTCCCCGCTCCAACAGGCCTAACCCTGCAAGACTCCGGCGCGGCGAGCGGGTGCCCCAGGCAAACAGCCACCAGACCTCGCTAGTCCCCCGGCCGGTCGCAGCTTGGGCTCCAGTGAGGTTAGGGGGTCGCCATCGGCCAGTTTCCAGCTCTCTCCCTTCGGAGCTGCAGCCAAAACCCGGAGAATGGATTTGGCGCATTGAAGACGCCGGGTACTCCCGGCTGATCTAGTGGGCACGCGAAGAACACCAGATGCGGCAGGTTTTTCCCGTCCAGGGGGAGGCGTTTCCTCTTCTGCGCGTCCTTAAAAGAGACTTGCCTAAAGCTGGGGCACGGGTGTGACGGCTGCCCCAACGGACAAAGAAGCGAAAGCGCAGCCGCCAGTGGGGGAGCGTAAATTCCGCCAGACACCGCACCTGCGCCCGTCGGTCAGTTCAGCGGCCGCGGCCCCGCCCCCGTCCCTCCGCCCGAGGGCCGAGCTTGAACCTGGCTAATTATTGTTAATTTTCTTAATCGGTCTCCGTTTCTTCCTCCTCTAGTCGTCAGCCTGGGGAATGAGTAGCAGACAGGAAAGGGCGGTGTTTTCCGGCTGTGTGATCCCAGTTCACAAAGTCGGCCTGGGGAGGGGGCTGGAACTCCGGGGAGTCGGATACTCCGGGGCTGGCCGCAGCCCTGGGACTCTAAGGTTGAATAGAAATCCTGGCGCAATCAGAGAACCTACAGGGGACCTTGAATCTCCAGAGAGCTATCAGCTTCAGGTCATCACAGCCATGCCCCGGAGTCTGTCTGAAACCTTAGAGGATGCACGTTAAGTCCACGATGTAAACCACGGCTGACAAGAAGTGAAGTGAAAAGGAAACGGACACACTGCTCTGGAAAGCAAAATACTTGGGTGGAGTGTTAAAAGCCTCAAAGAAAATAATAGTTGGCAGGTCAAATGGCCGTGAGGTTGGAAGTCAAGTACAAAACTCTGCTGAAGTGATGTTAGAAATTTTACAAGCAAAACAGTTCATGAAGATAAGAGAACAGGCATTGTTTCCTTTTCTCAAATCACAACTGCTCCAAAGTTTCCTTTGGCAAATACCTGGATTTTACTCCAGATTCCTGAGAGTTTTACTTGGGATTCGTTTTTCAAAATATATGTTCCATCTGGCACTAATGTATGTATTTTATATATGAATTTATTTAAAAAAATTAAATGTTACTGGCCTACTTAAGGTATTTTTATAAATATTTATGCATAGCTTTCATTACATACGGTATTTTTTATAGGTACAAAGAGTATGTGTCACAGATTGAATTATGTCCCCCCAAAATATGCATCAACTTGGTTAGGCCATGATTCCCAGTATTGTGTGGTTGTCCTCCATTTTGTGATTTTCCTATGTGTTGTAAATCCTAATCTCTGCCTGTGGTTAAAGTGGATTAAGGTGGGTCATAACACCCTTGCTCAGGTCACGTCCCAGATCCAATGTAAAGGGAGTTTCCCTGGGGTGTGGCCTGCACCACCTTTTATTTTACAAGAGATGAAAGGAAAGGGAAGCAAGCAGTGAGTTGGGGACTTCCCAAGAAAGAAGCACCGGGAGCAGATGTCCTTTGAACCCAGGGTTCCTGCATGGAGAAGCTCCTAGTCCAGGGGAAGATTGATAATAAGGACCTTCCTCCAGAGCCAACAGAGAGAGCCTTCCCCTGGAGCTGATGCCCTGAATTTGGACTTCTAGTCTAGTAGACTGTGAGAAAATAAATTTCTCTTTGTTAAAGCCATCCACTTGTGGTATTTCTGTTATAGCAGCACTAGTTAACTAAGACAGTATGTATGTGTATTTATAAAAATGCCATATGAAACATTACTTTTGTACACACGAAGACGTTCCTGATAACGTATGTCTTGTGTGTAAAGAATTTTTTTCATTTGCTCTATTGTTAAACCAAACCTTTGTTGTCGAGTCAATTCTGACTCATAGTGACCCTATAGGAAAGAGAGGAACCGCCCCATAGGGTTTCCAAGGAGTGGCTGGTGGATTCCAACTGCCTTCCTTAGCAGCCTTCTTAACCACTGCACCCCGCTCTATTGTTAATTGCTGTTAAGCACATTTCTCCAGGACTAAGTAAATAAGTTTTTTACAGCTTGTGGCAGACTGAGGCAACAATTTTATTTTAAAACCTCGTTTTCACTTTTCTACAGTGTTCCTTATCTTCTAGAGGCTCTCCCTTTCTACTCTTTCATTAAGAGACTATAAACAATTTATTCAGAACCTTCTCCAAGTGCCTGATGGTACTGTTTTGATCTACCCTGGCTTTTTTGATGCCCACGTTATTTATATGTAGTGCAGATCCTCAGTGAGGAGAGAATGCCCTTATATAGTGAATTATCCTTCCGAACAAGTGCATGTCCTATACTATGATTTGATGGATTTAGATTTCAACGTGTTGAGCAACTACATATTGAAAGAGAGAGAAAGCTTTATTTTAGGAAGATTTTAGGGGTTCTGATATTTCACTCTGATTCACAGCAAGGTTTAGCCTTGAAATTTTGATGGTAACCTTAGAAATCTAATTTGAGGTTAGAAAAATGGGTATAGAAAGGATGTATTAACTTGGTTCAATTACTGTGGTTCAATATACTATTTTAATATCTGTAGAGCACCTGCCTGGCCCAACACTAGGCTATTTTTCGATTAGTTCTGACTGTGGAAGAATAACTGAGTAGTGTCAGCACTGCCCTTGCTTGTCCAGAAACTTACAGCCAACTTAAAGGGCAGAGAGCAACATGTCAGTTTATATAAGCGAGCACTGACTGGAAGTGTTTTAGATTCTCACGACCAAGTGATCTTCAGGTCAGCAGCACCAGGTCTCTCCCCCGAGCTACTGAATCTGAATCTTCACTTTGATAAACTTGTGCATGCTTAACATTTGAGAAGCACTGGTCAAGAGCAGTGGTTCTCAATCTTTTTAAGCCACAGACTCATTTTAAAATCTTGTGAATTTATGAACACTCTTGTTGAAAAAATGCACACAGAGAATCACACACATGCACCCTTTTGCAGACAATATCAGGGTTCCCTATAGACTAATCGACTGAGGGCAAGAAAGGCCTGAGGCCTCCAGTCACCGAGAAGGAAGAGCAGCTCAGTGTCAGCTGGGGTGGTTAGAGGAGGATTCTAACAGGAGGCAGAGCTTGAATAAGCCTTGAAATGTGGGGAAAATGGGGTGGGGAGAGGAATGAAGGAGGGTTCTTCAGGCAGGAGGAATGCATAGGTAAATGGGCCCAGGAGGGAAAATAGCAAGTATCCATTTATATATGTGGTGGTGGTGTTGTTGTTAGGTGCCGTGGAGTTGATTTTCAACTCATAGTGACCTCAAGTGACACAGTAGGACTGCCCCATAGGGTTTTCTAAGCTGTGTAATCTTTACGGGAGCAGTTTGCCAGATCTTTTTCCAGCACAGCCGCTGGGTAGGTTTGAACTGCCAACCTTTCGGTTAGCAGCTACCAGGGTTCCTTTTGAGTGTGTGTGTGGGCGGGGGGGTGGTGAGGTTTATTCTGAACCAGTTATGTAGGAAACTGAAATAAATGACGAGATTGTAGGGTTTTTTTCCATTTCTTTTCCTTTTATTTTTTTATTATTGCACTTTAGATGAAGGTTTACAGAACAAACTAGCTTTTCATTAAACAATTAGTACACATATTGTTTTGTGACATTGGTTACCAACCCCACAACATGTCAATAGTCTCCCTTCTCAACCTTGGGTTCCCTATTACCAGCTTTCCTGTCCCCTCCTGCCTTCTAGTCCTTGCCCCT